GGGAATTCGTATTCTAAAGAAGTTGTCAGTTACTACTATTGGACCACATCTATCCGTATAACTTGGTAAGAAGTTGTATTTACCCAGTATTGTAGAGTGTCCCCATATCTGGGTAGGCCATGATTTGACTCTCTCAGACTAAGTGAAGTCATTGCTGCAGAGTGAAGTCAAGTGGCAGAATGTTGAGTATCACATTTAGAGCCTCACTTGACGTTCTTCTAACTGCACCACTGATAGACATTAAGGCCCTTCTTTAAATCTTATATAAGAGTTAAGCATATGCAGCTTTATTTATAGCTGGCCCTAACACGGACGCACCGTAAGGGAGTCTTGGTCTTACTACTCAGATGTAGATCCATCGGCAAATCCTAGGGTTTAGACCCCATTTCTTACCTATTGCTCTATGGCATATATAAGAGGGGCGTAGCAGCCTTTTCGTAAATTTGAATATTATTGTCCTTCCAGTTAAGCTTCTACTCTAAGATGACTACTGGAAATTTAGCTTCTGATCCCAAACCAAGTTAAACGCCGTGCAGTACTGGTGGGTTGATAGCGGGGATCTTATATCTTCTTGTGAAAAGTACGAGTTCCACCATGTTTGATTTGACACAGAGGTCACTTTTGATAATCCAGGACGAGACTTTTCTTAGTGCTCCTTTCGTTAAGACACAGAGGATTTTTGGAAACTTCCCTCTGTTAGCAATGGCGATGTATTCGTCGTCGGCAATTACTTTGAATTCACCCCATTCCGTTTGCGTTAGTAGCGAGTTTACTGTGAGATTCCAGATCAATGGGGAGGGAGCTCCACCCTGTGTAGTGCCTATGTTTACATATCTGTATGCTTGATATCCTTCCTGATTCGTGTATATAACCCTGCTTAGTAACAGTTGGTTGATGAAATCCGCTAATGTAGTGTCGACATCTAAACTTAACAATGCAGCTGTAACTGCTCTTGGTAAAATGTTATAGAAAGAAGGAAAGGTAACAAGACAAAATTCCTTGTTATAGAGAGTATTTTCGATGAAAGTAATTAGTCCATGAAGTGCAGTTTCTGTCACTTTTCCCTTTTGATAGGCGTACTGATTATTTTACAATAGCCTCTTATCAATGGTTTGGGAGAGATAGTTCATTATGATTCGCTCTAATGCTATTAGCCCAAAGGAAGAAAGACTTATGGGCCTGAGGTACTTCGAGTAACTATGAGTGCTCTTGCCTGCTTTGGGGATGACGGCGACTGATACCCGTCTCCATGTCTGTGGTACGTGATTGAGTATTAATCAGGATACAGATACAGCTTCCAGCCATTTTGTGGGTAACTGCAAGCCATTCTGCAGCTGTACAGGGATAATGCCGTCTGGTCCAGGTGCTTTATATGGTCCGAAGGTTTTTATTACTCTTATTACCATTTCATATGGTCGGACGAAAGCATGCCGACGATTGGAATTTAAATGTGCTCTGCCCAGTCCATAAAGAAAGGGAGCCCCACAGTCTGCGATATTTACCGTGCGATAAGCCTCCTCAATATCACCTATAAGGTCCTGTCCAGTTTATTGTGTCAAAGACTGAAGCCCACCGTCAACAAACTGAGTGGACCTTCTCAGTGTGGATTCAGACCTGGTAAGTCACTCATTGACCAGATATACACCTGGAAACAAATCTTGGAAAAGACCCGTGAAAAGAGGATCGACACCCAGCACCTCTTCGTGGTTTTTAAAGTCGCCTTCGACAGCTCGAAAAGGAGCTGTCTTTACGGCGCTATGTCTGAATTTAGTATCCCCGCAAAACTTATACGGTTGTGTAAGCTGACGCTAGAGAACACCAGAAGCGCAGTCACAGTTGGGAAGGACCTCTCCGAGACGTTCGATACCAAACGAATCTTCATCTTGTCGTGTGATATCTTTAATTTGATGCTGGAGAGCATTAAAACCAATAATAACTTCAGCCTTGAAATCCAGCGCAGAATCACTCTTGCCAACAAGTGCTACTTTAGACTGAGTAGGCAATTGAAAAGAAAAGTCCTCTCCCGACGAACGAAAAGCAAACTCTACATGTCCGACGTGCTATATGGTGCGGAAGCATAGACGATCACAGCATCTGATGATATGGCGCTAGGAGTTTTCGAGAGAAAGTTTTTGCGAAAGATTTATTTTCCCTTGCGCGTTGACAACGGCGAATATCGCAGACGATGGATATGGTTCAGCGAATCAAGAAGCAGCTGCTACGCTGACTAAGTGTCATGTGATCCGTATGGATGCGAATACTCCAGCTTTGAAAGTTTTCGATGCAGTACCTGCCGGTGGGAGCAGCGGATGAAGAAGACCTCCACTCTGTTGGAGAGACCAGGTAGATAAGGACCTGGTTGTACTTTATTTTTTTGAATTGGCGCCAAACAGCAAACAGAAGAAACGAATGGGGCATTGTTGTAAATCGGCTATAATCGTGTAAGTAAGTATTACCATTTCATCTGTGACTGGTAGCTCGGTACGTCTCTACAAATGAGCGGAGCTCACAGGAGTATGTCAAGAAAACCCACCGAAAAGCTAACATGCTTGTATCTGTTTTAGTCAAAAAGCATAATCTTATGTTACCTTCGTTACACGCTAGAACTAGCTTGTATCCTCATTTGAGGTTGCTACACCCTCCCCTACAGCTATAACGGTGATTTCAGGAGTGAACTCGTCGCTATAAAGCTGCTCTTCCTCCACATACAAGACTTTGAGAGCCTCTGCAAGGTTTGGCTGAGATGAGGTACCACTCCCAGTATCGGAGAGCTCCGGCTCTTACTTAGGCGTCTCGATGTCAACTTTCGTATCTATCGGAGCGCCTGGGTAAGAGACGCGCTGCGCATCACCGCGATAGACATGGATGATAATCTCATCCAGTCCGTACTGCACTGGACCATTCCTCGCTTCCAGCAAATCCAGGGACTGCTAGTTGAGTGAGAGCATGATCAGCCGTCTGCTTCCTCAACCCTGGTCACCTTCCAGTCTCTTGTAGGAAGGGAGGGGTGCATTAATTGTAGCATCCTCGATATGATATCTGGCTTCGCTGGCGTGACCCAAGCCCAAGCCATTGCCCGAGGACGGACCGGAATGTCCTTCCATTCTACTACCTCAAGCCGCGCTTCAGGGAAGACAGCACCACTGACAGCGTGTCTTCGCATGCGACAAGTTTAAAGTTGCTGAGGAACCATCCGGCATCCTCACAATCGGAAGAGGTCCCGGGGATCTCCAGCAAAACATCCAGTACGCCATTTGCCAAGGCTGCCTTCACCCACCTTTATGCCAATGCGAGGGTTGACTCCCTCGTTGGTATTCAGAGCCAGATCCAATGCTCACGACTGGAGTCTTCTCAACTGTACCTACACCATCAACTCAATAACGACGAGATCGGAACGTACTACGAGGTCTGCCTGGGTTTTAACGGGACGGAGACAGTCGCGACATTAGCCATTTCTACAGAGTATCACCCCTGAATACTTAGGTAACAGAATGCTACAACCACCAGCTGATAACAGAACGTCAGAACCAGAAGATATAGAGAGAATACGTGAACGGAAAAGATAAACCCAAATGGGGTCAGCTCACAATACTTAATGTGTGCCTCACAAGTGAGGTTTTTGTAAGATAGGGGATTGTAAGAGAAAAGTCTCATTTCTGTACATCGTGACAATCATTACTGTTTGGATGTTTAGTAGAAAGAGGAGTTTGAGGACCTGACCGCGAACGGACACTCCTGAGCAGGATCATTGTATTTGCGAAAAGTTCGCTTGATTTTATGAATTCTTACAACCATGCCTGCATACCCTAGTGAGGTTGGAACGGGGAGCTTCGTGGGAGTTGTGACATCGTAATCGGTTGATAGCAAGACACTTGCGAAGTATAATACTATGACGAGGAGATGGCTTGTGTTCGTCGTGTCTTCTTTCAAGCTCTTTATGATTTCGGTGAGATGTTCTTGGGAATCGTACTGACGTTATATTGGGTCAAAGGGTAACTCCCTTGATTTAACTCAGTCTTTCAACTATTTCCCTTTTCTCTGCTTCTGTATTCTTCGTTTCGTAGGTGAGGGAGTCGTTATTAAAAATCCGCCCGGCAAAAGCTTCAATACTTCCAGTCACGGATTTCTTAATTTGTTCAGTTCCTTCTCTGATACCTTTCTTTTTAAAGCTTTATTTGTCTGTTTTTGAGTAAACTCTGTTCAGATGCAGATAAATATTTCTGGTTCAAATATATAATATTGTTGGGAATATGCGAGGCGAATGTCAGATGAAAGAGAGAAGCCGATAACTAGTGCATTCTAGAAACGATAAAACAAGAACCTTCGATAGCGAACATTTCAATGCTTTTACGCTTTCGTCTGCGAGCAGCCGACTGCTATATAAGGGCGACACTCAGCTGCAAGTTAAGTTAGTTACAAGGTGAACTCGTTGGCGTTAACATCAGTAAAGTCGTAAAGTAAACACGTTGGAGATTACATTTAAGTAGAGTAAATTGTGAAAGTTTATGCAAGTGATTGTAAATATTAAAGTGCATTGTAATTGAATTGTGAATTACGGAGTAAATAGGGGACATTAGATAAAATCTTTATAACGAAAGAAACTGCAAATTAAGTTGGCGAGTTTTTATTTAACAATCCAGAGATCGTACCCGAAGGATTCAGAAAATAATCGATGTTGATCTAGTAAAATCGTAACAATATATTCATATATGTAATGTGTTAAAATTCGCATAAACATATATGCAAGAATGCAAAGAATTTAAATCGCCGGACAACTTGAATATATGCAATATATAAACATTCATTCATACATATATGCTAGAATGCAGTACTCAAATAGAAAATTGTTATATCACTTTAAGTAAATACACAATATTATTTCAAATAATATTTTTATATCATTGCATGCTTTTCTGTTGTAAGCTCTGCATATATAGATATTTTGGAACTGGTTTGTTCTATTTAATAAAGTTTTAAAAATATTTATCTACTTTTTCAAGGAGTTTTACGACGCAAGGCGGCTCCGGTGTCAATACTAAAAGTAATATCAAAGCGACGACCGTCAGATCATCATTAATAATATCACAGCAAATAACAAATTCCCAAGGAAAATCCACACTGAATAAGGAGTGTAGTTGCCCGCGGTTTACTGAATTTTCTGTTAATGTGAGGAATACACAATATTTGCATCATGGTCTTTGCCATCGTCATCAACAATTCTTAAAACAAAACTTGGAATCTTTTGCTTTTGCAAAGCCTCCAAGTTTTTCGTCACCATTTTTACATCGGTGGAGAAAAGTATATCGACCCATATCACGTACAGAAAAAAAAGAGAATATTCTCAATAGGGTTCTTCAAGAATTTTCAGGTAGCTCATTGAATAGACTTACAGAACGAAACGAAATATACGATTTTAATAAAGCTGTTGTTATTAATAAACCATCTTCATTTTACACCACTGACACTGTAAGTTGCTTACAAGGTCAAAAGTTATTAAGTGGTAATTTTGAAAAATATTCTACTCCATCCGAATCGGATGATACTGTATTAAGAAGAGAGAAAAAGTCATCATTGTTTCCAACAGTATCATTCTCATCAAGAGACAGTTCATCAATAAATAATAATTTTAACAAAAAAGAGCATTTGGTAGATCCATTAAGTAGTTTTCCAATTGGGGTTTTCATAACTAAACCCTCTTATTCAAATTTCCACCAAACACATAAATTTTTTATTAGTAAAAAAAACTATGAAAAAAGGTTTAATACTATGACTAATCGAAAAGTAGACTGCGTAATGGATGAATCAAAAAACAGAAATGAGATTTCGCCCGTTCCTACCAACCGCCGCGTAGGAACTATTTCCTTCGAAGATAGCAAAGAAAAGTCTATCAAGATGGCCGAGAAATCGGGCTTTAACTTAGAAAGACCACAAGGAAATTTAGGAAAAGATTCGCTTTCTCCCTGCCTTCTGTTGTCATCGTGCTCGGATACCGCTTTGATTACTCCAGCAATTTGTCAAAAGTTTAACAATCCAATGCGTTTTATAAGGAAAAATGTCGAACAGTCTGCAAGAAATATTAATACAAATTATCTTGAGTTTGAAACGGAATTCCCTCGAGACTACGATGATAATATTGAGATGTTGTCCAGAGAAGCTGAGCACTTGGAAAATCAGTTTCGGACGCCCACTCGCACAAATAACTCAGAAATTAAAATTTCCACTCCCGTTATTTTAAAAAAAGACAAAGAAATGTCCCCTTCGTCAAATACTCTTCAAGTAAATACTATTGTAACGGCATCCACAGGAAAACGCGTTGGATTCAAAGTGGAAGAAAAAATTGAAGAGCATATAGCTGAAAGTAGCATTCTTCAAAAAGCAACTTTGATAAGTGCCGAACAAGCAAGTTTTGAGGATGTAGCACCTGTTGTCATTGCAACACCAACCGCAACTGAAGCTGTACCTCCGATCACTTCCAAAACTACGACTTCCATTCAATCCACAGTAGCAGCCACAAAAAGCACTAATAAAGATGATGACGATGAGCCAGTTGCTATGTCACCTTGTGGTCGATTTTTTAAGTATGATAAAGAAGTAGGACGTGGCTCTTTCAAAACTGTTTATCGAGGATTAGATACTGAAACTGGGGTAGCGGTAGCATGGTGTGAATTATTGGTAAAGTATTTATTTAAGTGTTGTTTAAAATACATAAGTATACGGGGAGCCAAGAGGTATTAAAATTAATATGCTGACTTGAGAATGCTTTTCGCGTTCTGGACTGATAAAGTTATAGTCAACAAAATAAAGTAAAACATATAAATAATATTCAAAACCACTCATGTTTTATTGAAGAGTCTAGCATTCCTCTTGACAAACGTTTCCCAAATTTCTTTATTATTTGCCTATTTTGCCAAATAACTTAAGCTTTAAACTCCACGTTATACCCCTTTGCAAGGTTATGTAACTCTGCAATGGAATATATATATAATATCGTCTTGTAAAAACATATTATCCGTTCAGAGACGGCTTCAAACTTTAAGTCCCTCAGTTTGAAAAACATCAGATATTGTAAAAGAATGTCCTAAATAATTATTAGCATGAAAACAGTTGCAAATGGTCTGCAATAACCTTGTAGTTGTATGTATACGATTTTTAATGTAATTATATATTTTTAAAATCGTCATAATTTAAGGATAAACAAGTTAAAAAGAGCGAACGTATGCGATTTCGAGAGGAAGCAGATATGTTGAAAAAATTGCAACACCCAAATATTGTACGCTTTTACACATACTGGGAGAACTCGGTGTCTCGAAAAAAGAATATTGTTCTAGTCACAGAGTTAATGCTTTCAGGAACATTAAAATCGTAAGTTGAAATAGATTTTTACCTCTTATCCTCCTTTTTCGCTCTCCTTCTTCTCTTTTTAATAAACTTTTTTGATAGGTATCTTAAACGATTTAAGAAAATAAATCCAAAAGTACTAAAGTCTTGGTGTAGACAAATTTTGAAAGGACTGCATTTTCTGCATACTCGTCCCTTGCCTATAATCCACCGTGACTTAAAATGTGATAATATATTTATAACTGGAACTACTGGTAGCGTGAAAATAGGAGACTTAGGACTAGCAACATTGAAAAATCGTTCACATGCTAAATCTGTAATCGGTACACCTGAATTCATGGCACCTGAAATGTACGAGGAGCACTATGATGAGTCTGTTGATGTTTACGCGTTTGGTATGTGCATGTTGGAAATGGCTGTGTCTGAATATCCATATAGTGAGTGTAAAGGCCCTGCGCAGATCTACAAGAAAGTTATTTCAGGAATCAAACCAGCAGCTCTAGCAAAAGTGGAAGATCCCAAGGTGCGAGAAATTATTGAAAAATGTATTGAGCTGAAAAAGGAACAGAGGCCAAGTTGTAAGGATCTACTCAACTCAGAGTTTTTCGAGGAAGATATTGGTATACGTGTTGAACCAACTGCCACTGAGGCTTTTTTGAGTAATCCTGAAAATAATATTATCGAATTCCGCCTTAGATTTCTCGATCCTAAGAAAAGATCGTCTAAACACAAAGAAAACGAAGCTATTCAATTTGAATACGACATAAAAATTGACGATTGTGAACAACTTTGTCAAGATATGACCAAGGAAAATATTATTACAGAGGAAGATTCTCGTGCCGTTGTTAGAATGTTAAAAGTACAAGTGTTTTCATTATTAAAGGAACGAATGCAAAGACAAACTCAGTTGCAATTGCAAAATGAAAAATCAAGGTTGGAAAAATTGGCCTTGCAAAAGCAAAGGGCAATGTTGGCACCCAATGTTGAAGAAGAAGAAGAGGAAGAGGAAGAAGCAGAATCAGAAGAAGAGGATGAAAACATGAAGTGGACAAATCTTAAAATTAAAGTTGATGCTTTGACAGACATCGTATCAAATGTTACATCAGAAGTAACCAGGAAAACAGACGTACCTGGCGAAACGACAGAATCGTCGTTGATTTTAACTCAACAAACGCCACTGGTTCATACTTTGGAACAACGACCCGGCCTGCAGCAAAAATATTATGCTCATAATAATACACAGCCAATGATTTCCTCGGGAGCGGGGCAATCCTCGGTTCATTTCGTCCAACAACCCCAATTTGCACCTTTCAAAAACCCTTCAGCACCTTTACAAGATATTTCTTCTATGAAAATAATATCACCTACTACACAAATGGGTCCGCCTTTTGGTAACGCAGGAAAAAAATGTAGTGACCACCATGTACAGATTTCACTACCTAAACCGGTCTTAGTTTCGGTATCAGTTTCAAATTCAGTTCCGCTTGCTGGTGTGGCTTCCCAATCAATGCAGCAGCTGGTACATCAACAAAATCCACAACATCAGTTACAACCGCAAAATTTAGCTCAACAACAGCAGGCAAATCAGCAGGCGCCACAGCGTCAACATGTAAACCACCAGGCTTTAATACAAAGCCAGCAAAATGATCAATCACAAACACATACTGTCCAACAATCGGCTCCACGTCAGCTGCAGACAATAGTTCAGTCTCAACAACTTTCAAGCCATCAATCAAGCGCACCTCAACAGCTGTTTTCTCAGCAAAACCAGCAGCATCCAGTTGCTCAACAACAATCACCACAGCAAACGCAAGCAAGTCAACAACGTCCTACACAACCTCTAAATCAACACTTGCCGAATGCGCAAACAGTTAACAATAATCACCAACTAATTTCCAACAAACAAAACATACAGTCACAACGTTTAGTCTCTCAGCCTTGTATTACCTCTATTGTTCCGAATCAAACTTCACAACAACTCAATGGTCAGAGTTCTATCCAACAAGTGCAAGCACAACAACCATCGAACTTACTGTATACACAGTGTCCCACAACACAACAAAATCCTGAAGTTATTCAAAATACTGCAGTCTCGCTTTCGGTTACTAAACAACCTCCAACTTTAACGTATGTGCAAGCTGTTGCTGATACGGCAATAAGAAATGTACAAAAGCAAACAAATATTACTTCTCATTCAGCATCATCAAATGCGACCAGCTTAACTCCTTTATCTAATGAAGAAAGACAAGGAACTCGTGTCCAAAAGACAAGACGGTCAAATCGCAGCGGCAATGAACGCGTACCAAAGCTGAGTGTGACAGGTGTAGATCACGGTACTGTTATTAACTGCCATATGGAAAACAAGCCAAAAACAATAACTTTTAAATTCGATATACGTGATGTCAATCCTACTGAAATCGCCAATAAGTTGGTGAGGGTTCTTTAATCAATATAAAAATATAACAAATTAACATGCATATAATGTTAATTATTTTATAGATTGCTCAAGATCTGCTGTCAAATAATCAATCAGTAGTCTTTGTGGAGATGATTAATGATATAATTCAGCAAGTTGAGTTAAACCCCAACAGAATACCAGTGCCATCATATTGCTGCAATAAAGACAAGGTATGTTACCTTATTATAAAATAGAATTAGACTAGAGAAATAAGTGAAATCAATATCATTTTTCCCATACTTTGGTAAAGTTTAGTATATGAGGGAACGAAAGTGAAGGGGTAGAAACAAACATTATTAATAAATATTCTTCCAAGTGAGAAAATACCATAGCCACATTTAAGCAAAAAAAAAAATATTTAAATATATAGAATTCTATTATCTGTTTTTAAATTAATAACATATAAAGCCGATAATATTTGCAATCTCATGCATTGCCGAAATAATAGGAGTAGTAAAAAGAAATTCATTATTTTATGTTTTAATTTTTTATTTTTTGTATCCACCCTCATTCAAATGGGTCCAAACGATTCATTATGCAATCTTTAGCTCTTGGGCAATCGAAACAATGCTTACATGACGGTCAGACTCGACAATGTCAATGATTTCATCGACATTTTCGACAATTGGCTTTTCACTCCAATAAGCATCTTTTACATTAAAATTACCAAAATGAAATCGAAATGAATCGAATGATTGACTGTAACAATATCATCAGGACCATGAACGCTTTTCACATTTGCAGCCGCCTGACTTTCGTTTTAGCTCTTATTTAAGAAAAACTGTAAAAACTGTATTCTCTCTATGCTAGTGTCGGTCTTTGACGCACTCTCAAACAAAACTGAATCAACTGAAATTTTAGTACGAAATGTCATCTTTCTAACGCCTTCTAGCGGAATACCAATCAGACTTATTCAACGCGAGATACAGATAAATGTCAAGTAGTGCAGATCTGTATTGGGTACTCTTTTCCCGATGATGATTCAACTTCGAATTCGAGAACTCCATACACTCGAAGAGAGCTCAGGCACTCGCTGAATAGGGCTTAATGCCTGTCTGTAAGCTGTCCTGCTCAGTGATTCTTGTAAGTGGTGCTAAATGCAGCCCTTAAAGTCGAGAACTCCCTTCGTTAGTGAAGAAGGAAGCCAAAATATCGCAGGTTATGGCTGTAATTATCGTGCAGTGAATAAATGATCTGTCATCCTTTTCCAAACATAAGCCACCAATATCTTGGCTAGACGTTAATATCGAGCAATTGCTATTGCTGGCGGAGGAGAAAACTTCGAGATATAGAATTTAAACAACAGTAGGAAGAGGTTGTTGTTTAATCTTTCTAAGTTCCATGGTTTGACCTCGAAACTCTACCAATGATTGCCGACCACTCAGTTAAATTATGGTCGTCCTCTTCAACTACGGCAGTAATGAGCTATCGGCCGACACGATTTTCGCTTTCCCGGTTTAAGTAGCGGGAACACACTACCTTACCACGTCGGCCACAGATGATACGCAGGCCGGAGAACTTCTGAAAGTTACGGACGTTTTTTTCCGATTTCGATTTTTCCCTTTTCATAAATAAGCTGTTTTCAAGTTAACTTAGTTGTTGTTGTTGTAGCGGTTCACTAACCCCGCTTAGGCACAGGTTTGATCAGTCTAAGTCGCCGAGGTCATCTAGTAGTAGGTCCAGGAAACGAGCTGTTTCGACGGGGTTGGACCAAAGGGAGAGGGGGGTTAGATATATGGGTTTGAGGGAGCATGTGAAGAGGTAGTTAGTTTCGTGCGGAGACTCTCCACATGCAGGGCATGCGTTGGGTACGCTGGGGTCTAGTCTGGATAGGTAGGAGTTTAACCCGCTACAGTACCCAGACTTGAGTTGTGTCAAAGTCACGCGGGTCTCTCGAGGCAGCTCGAGCCCGTTTTCTGCTATGGGTGGTGGTATTTCTCCGAGTACGCCATTCACTGGAAGGGAGTCCTTGAAGGTGTTGACTGACTCCTGGTGAATGGCGTTCAGTTCTTGTCGGTACGCCGTCCTGTCCAGCGGTTGTTGTATGTGTTGCTGGATTGTGTCCTTTAAGTCTAGTACTCCCTTTCTGATGTGCCTAGGTGGAGGCTCATCCTCTACTAGGTGCCTACTGGGGTGCTCCCTGCGGTAACATCCCAATAGGAACTGCTTGCACAGCCAAGCATTATGCTCCTTAACTCGTATCATAGATGCTTCCCTGTGCAAGTGATGCTCCGGCGGCATCAGGAGGTATCCTGTCGCGGTCCTGGGGGCTGTGTTCTGGCAAGCCTGTAACTTCTTCATCTGCGTGTCGTTCGTTCCCGGCGTCCGGATCGGTGCAGCATAGTTTACGACCGGCCGGCCAATTGCTTTGTAAGTAGCCAGCAAAGTTTCTTTGTCTTTACCCCAGGTGCTGCCGCTTTGAGTATTTTGTTGCGGATCTGGATTTTTGCGGCAATTGCGGTCGTATGCGGAGTGAAGTAGTGCAGGCTGTCTAGGGTTACTCCCAATATTTTTGGGTTATTTACCGTCGGAGTTTTTGTGTCATCGACCTTCACATGTAGTTCAAGCCTGTATTCCTTCGTACAGCTGGTGAAGAGGGTAGTCGAGGATTTTGTCGGTTGAATTCGAAGTTGTCTTGCATCGAAGAAGTGGGAGAGATCAGTAAGGTAGCCGTTTAATTTCGAGGAGAGGTCATCAATATCCTGGCCAGACGCCATTATCGTACAATCATAGGCATACGATGTTAGGGAAACTCCTTCTGGTGGTGGAGGGAGTTTCAAGATGTAAAAGTTAAACAGTAGCGGGGAGAGGACTCCACCCTGCGGAACCCCCTGTTTAATTTTTCTGGGTTTAGATGTTACACCTCGGAAAATTACCGATGATTGTCGACCACTCAGGTAGCCCATGACCCACCTCTGCAACCCCGGCGGTAATGAGGATTCCTCAATGTCCGTTAGTAGCACTGAGTGATTGACTGTGTTAAAAGCTTTTAACAAGTCCAGTGTTACAAGGACAGTTCGCGCGCAGGGTCGGTTTTGGTTAAGGCCATGGACCATGTGGGCGTTTATGGCGTTAAGTGCTCTTGTGGTGCTGTGCACTTTTCGAAAGCCATGCTGATGTGCTGCTGGACGCAGGTGGTGAGTGAAGGTCGGGAGCAGTAAGGCCTCAAGTGTCTTCGCTGCAGGGGAGAGGAGGATTATCGGCCGATAAGACTCCTTTGTTGGCTGGCTTCCCCGGTTTAAGTAGCGAGACCACCTTACCCATTTTCCACACATCGGGTATCGTCCGGGTGGTCAGAGACAAATTGAGTACCCTCGGGAGAAATTCTGCTCCCGCTGGTCCAAGGTGTTTCGGCATCAGCATGCTTATTCCGTCGGGGCCGATGGATTTGGAGGCTTTCGCCTTGCCGATGACCCCCTGAACCTCCTCCCTGGAGAAATCAAGCACCGCGCTGGTGTTTGGCAGGTTGCGCATACGGCGGGTTACACGTCGTTTCGCTTTGTCTACTAAGGGATGCAGTGTGAAAAGTCGGCTAAAATGCGCATCTCTTCGGTTCCGACGAGAAGCGACCACCGAATGAAATTTCCACCCGGTCATCGCGTCTCGTCGGGTTAGACAGCGACTTGCCCCAGAGGAGAGGTTGCAGGTCCTTAGGTGCTCCTCCCACTTTTTCTGCGTATGTTTGTTAACAACTCTTCGAATCTCCGCGCTTAAATCCCTGATTAGGAGATTCCCGGGATCGGAGCTTCGGAGGGTGTCGCGCCTGGATGCTAATACCGCCGCTTTTGTCGGAAAATTCAGGCGGATTTCCGCAATTCGGCTTGCCGGGATGAAGCGGGCGGCAGCGGTCACGACGACCCTGCGGAATAAACGTTCACCGGCGGTGATGTCAAATGGGGTGGGAAGAGCACTGAAGGCGTTCTCAGTAAATTCCGTGAATCCGGGCCAGTTGGCTTTTTAAAGTTAACAAGTGTCCGGTGGTCCGCGGAAACAAAGTCGGTAGACCTGTCAATCGAGATTTGTATGGGCAAGTGGCCCGATGCTAACGTCAGTATAGGTCGCCAGACTATACTGTTTATCAGACCAGCACTAGAAATTGTTATGTGTGACGAGCTTTGGCAATTAACCATAACTCTGGTGGGAGTGTTGGCGTTCATTGTGTAGAATGTCGAATCGGCTATCTGTTCCGCCAGCTCCATTCCTCTACGGTCATTTGACAGGCTAGAATGCCAAAGATCCTGATGCGCGTTAAAGTCGCCCAAAACCAAACGGTTTTCGCCCCTGAGTAGCGCACCTATATCAAGGGTGTATCCTGCTGGTCAACTTGTATATATTGAATATTTCGAGCTCGACATCGACTGACCAGATAGCTATGCCCTGACATTCTAGGGTAGTATCCCTGCGGTCGAGGTCGCCATCGATGAGACGATACTGCACGGTGTTGTGCAGGATGAACGCTAAGCCCCCACCGTGGTCTCGCTCGCGATTCTTGCGGATTAAGTTGTATCCGGCCCTGTCCAGAAGATCTGACCGGGCGGTCAACTTGGTTTCCTGGATCGCAACAATTTACAGATGCTCCCTGCTCATATAGTCGACTATCTTGTCAATCTTTCCCTGGAGTCCGTTGCAGTTAAATTGTAGGAGTCGAGCCTGTCTCTGGAAACGTTCGTGATTCCGGGGGTGAGGGAGTGATGCGTGGATGGTGTGTGTTGCTTCTGTATTACCCGCGAGAGTTGATTCCGCACGTTGGTGTTAGTTGGCGGAGGGTTGGTAGAGGAATGCGGGTGCAGACTCCTAAATAAAGAAGAGGTTGAAACACCAGATGTGATGACAGAAATATTGAGAATCCTGAAATCGCTAGAAGGGATGAATCGTTCTGGTCTCAAAACTCAAG